AGTGTCAGGAGCCATGGAGAAGAAGATGAAGAAGGGGTAATGGGGGTAAGGCTCGAGAGCGAGGCAGAAATAGAGGGAAGAGGAGGAAGGCAACACCCTGCAAAGGCGAGAGTAGTAGCAGTTGGTTGTCGTACCGCGGTAGAACGAGGCGAGGCCCTTGTCGCGCCATCGCGAGGAGATGACCTGCACGGCTGAGGCGGAGGCTGGTGTGTTTTGTAGGACCACCTTGCACGTCTCGACGGGGTGGGACAGGAAGCGCTCGGTTACCCCGGTCAGCACGCCCGCCACCACACGGCGCAGCTTGGCACGGGCCTCGGGGTCTTGCACGGCTGCATGTTGTTGTTGTTGGGCCTTCATACCGAGCTTGCTGTCGTTCGCGCTATCCTTCACCTGGCGTGTAGCGCCCTCCTGGTGCTTGGGGTGAATCAGCATCTTTTTGCGGATGCAGGCAAACGAGGAGTCGTGTAGGAAGATGATAAAAGATTATAACAATGGGCCAAACGGAGGCCTCTGCTGCAACCTCCAAGATCGATTTTATGGGCCTCACCTACGCCAGGGCGAAAGTCAGCCGGCATGCCCGCGAAAACAGAACCCCACCGCGTCCACAAAAATGCCACCTCAACCGCCCAAAACAGTCACTGCCCTGCCCCTGATCACTGTCTCTGATCGCCTTCACGCTTCATCTTCTGCAAGCCTTGGCTTTGTTGTGGGAACGGAAGGAGGAGGCTGGCTGGCCCAACTCCGTGGGTCGTGGTATTTTCCGGGCTCGGAGGTCGGCTGGTGCATCCCATAATGGGCGCTGTGTGCGCAGAGTAGAAGTGGGCGGGGAGAGCCCTAGGGCAAATCGATCAAAAAGCTAAGTTTGCGGGGCTCTTACGCCACGGTGGTGTCTTTGGCCCTGGCCACTCCTCATTACCAGTGGGGTGGTTTAGGTGTGAGGCACCACCGCCCAGTCTGCGCACATACCAATGCTTGTGGTTCCTTTAGGAAACGATCCCACACGGTGTAGGACCCGGGTTGGGGGACCGTGCTGGTGAACCACCACATCTCCTCTTTTTTTCCCATCAACAAAAAACAAACCAAACTGGTACCCTCTGCACTTGCACAACGTTCCCTCTGCTTTTGTTTGCGCCACTTGGTGCTCCCCCCAGTGAACGCAAACAAGAGCCGGAAGTCTCCGCTCACCATTCCACTCCGTGAAATAGAGAGAAATATTAGAACAACATTGATTAAAATTTGTTATTATGAGGCGTGTGGGTTGTGCTGCGTCTCGTCCCTCGTTCTTCGTCGTCTCGCCGCTGACGTCGTCCACCCGAGTCTTGGCGCTATCGTCTTCTTCACTCTCCATGCAGCGAGCGTTGGCATCGAGCGGAGCCTCCCGCATCACGGACTATGAGCCGTTCTTGAGCGTGACGTCCAAGCGACGTCAGCCCTCCCCCATCCGCTCCCTCCAGCCCCTCCTTGAGCTGCCCGGCATGGTACCCCCCCCACAGCACTACACACTCAAACCATCGGCCCATTTCGATTTGGCACATAAAAAAATAAAACTATTTAACTCTAACTACGGCGTGGTGCAGATCTCGCTGGGTGGTGGCATGCCCAACACGTCGTTCTTCCCCATCAAGGGGGTGGACGTGCACCTGACGGACGGCACCACCCTCCCCATCCAGGGCGTCGACATGAACGCCGCCCTCCAGTACTCCTCCTCGGTACTTCCTTGTCCTGTGGCCTGGCCTGATACCTCGTGGTGGCCTACCACGACTGTTTCGCCTGCTAAGTGCTTCCACCCCCCCCCCCTCTCCCCCCTTCTCCCCCCACAGTACGGTGTCACGGAGTTCGTGGAGTGGCTCAAAGACTACCAGACGCGCGAGCACCACCCACCCTACGCGTACGTGTTGACCACGAGCCAAACCACCCACAACGTTGTGATGTGAGCAGCAGCAGCAGCAGCAGCAGCCAGCAGCATGAAGATGACGGCCATTCCTCCTCATTATTCGTTCTTTCATTCATTCTTCCTTTCGTTCTTCTTCCTCTTCGCCACATGCGCGTAGTTCGAGGAAGGACTGGCACGTGTGCGTGACGAACGGGTCGTCGGACGCCAACGCCAAGGCCTTCGAGATGCTCATCGACCCCGACGACTACGTCCTCGTCGAGAACCCCACCTACAGGTGCCCCGCCCGCTGCCCTTTTCCCTGAAGCTTCCGATCAATGCAATGCAATGCAATGCCAACCACCACCCACCACTAACCGCCATCCACTCACCGCCGCGGCGGCGCAGTGGGTCGCTGGCGGGGCTGCGGCCGCTCGGGTGCCGGCTGGTGGGTGTGGAGACCGACCACTCGGGCCTCTCGCCTACCCACCTCCGCTCGCTCCTCGACTCGTGGCCCGTCGACCGCCCCAAGCCCAAGGTGCGCTTGTGCGTGTGCGTGTGCGTGTGCGTGTGCGTGTGCGTGTGCGTGTGCGTGCGTGTCATTGATCGTGTCGTGTCGTGGGTGTCGTTGGTGTGCGTGTAGGTGCTGTACGTGATCCCCACGGGACAGAACCCGTCGGGGGCCACACTGCCCGAGGAGAGGCGTCGGGAGATCTACGGCATCGCGCAGCAGCACAACCTCATCATCCTCGAGGACGACCCCTACTTCCACCTCCAGCTCGACAAGCAACAGGTCCCCACTTCCTTACTTACCTATCTACTACTACAGCTGCCGCTCTCTTTCTCTTCACCTCTCTCTCTCTCTCTCGCTCTCGCTGGTTGTGTTTGGGCCATGGTGGCTGCTGGCGGCGGCGGTTGACGATGGGTCGGGGGGGGGGTGAACCGCGCAGGACGATGAGCCGTTGAAGTCGTTCCTCTCGATGGACGTGGATGGGCGCGTGGTGCGCTTCGACTCCTTCTCCAAGATCATCTCCTCGGGTGCGTTGATTGTTCCCACTGTCGGACACACGCACCACCGCACACGCACACGCACCACCGCACCACCGCACCACCGCACACCGACGTCCTCATGGCAATTTCGCTGCAGGTTTCAGGATCGGGTGGGCCACCGGCCCCGCTCCGCTCATCGAGCGGATTCAGCTCCACCAGCAGGTGCGCCCCTCCCCTTTCCCTCTCTTCCTCTCTCTCTCTCTCTCTGTGTTGTGTGTGTGTGTGTGTGTGGTCAACCAAGCCACCTTCATCTCTCCAGGCCTCGACGCTGCATGTCAGCGGACTGAGCCAGGTGGTGCTCCTCACGCTGCTCAAGAACTGGGGCGAGGAGGGCTTCAAGCGCCACATCGCCATGGTCCAGGTAATAATACATAAATAAATATAAATAAATAAATAATAATGCTACGTGTATTGGACGACGACGACTATACGCAGCCCGACTCACCCCGCCCCTCTCTCTTTGCAGGAGGGGTACCGCCAACGGAGGGACCTGTTCTGCAAGCTCGCCGAGAAGCACCTCACCGGCCTCGCCGAGTGGCATCCGCCGTCCGCCGGTGCGCCTCTCCCCGGCACCATTGCCGCTAAACAAACTGCGCGATGGCTTACATGCATCGATCCCCACAATTCCCACGCGCCACATACACGCACGCACACATGTCCCTGTATGGACACAAGGCATGTTCGTGTGGTTCAAGGCGCTGGGGGTACGGTCGACGGAGAAGATGATCAAGGAGCGAGCCCTGGCCCAGAAGGTGCTGCTCGTGCCGGGCGTGGCGTTCACGCCCAACGGCGAGGAATCATCGTTCGTGCGGGCCTCCTTCTCCACCGCCTCCCCCGACGACATGGACGAAGCCCTCCGCCGATTCGCCGCCCTCCTCCACGAGGAACGCAACGCGCACCACCAGTAGAACTAGAAGCCAATGTTTGAGGCCAAGAAGGGGGGTGGGCATTGCGCGTCAAGACAAGATCTTGTTGACGTTGTTTTGTTTGGAGAAAACACACTTCAATGTTTTAACAATCAAAATTAGTTACTATGTACACGCGAGGGCACCCTCTGGTCCTGCTTTTGCTTTTTCTCCCTCACTCTCCGCCTTCGCTTCTCAGTAGCCGAGGCTCATGTCGTCGCTGTCGAGGCAGGCGAGGACAGCGGCCGCCTGCAGCTCCTCGCGGTGCACATCGTCGTCGTCGTCGTCGTCTTCGCGTTCCTCCTCCTCCCTTTCGCTGTCCCCCGTTGTGTCGCTCTCGGCGTCGGCTGTGGTGGTGGTGGTGGTGCTTCGGCTCGTCGCTTGCGTGTGTGCGTGTGCGCCCTCGGGCACGAGGTGGAGGAACGGGTGGAGGAGGGCGCCGTCGAGGGAGAGTCGCTTGCGCGGGTCGGGCCGCAGGAGCGACCAGACGAGGTCGCGCGCGTCGGCAGACACGTGCGGCGGGAAGGGCAGCGAGGCGAGGAAGCCGGGCGAGGTCTGCTCGTCGAACTGGGCCTCGACGTCGTCCGGGCTGAACGGGTAGGCGCCCGTGAGGAGCAAGTAGAGCACCACGCCCAGCGCGTAGGCATCGGTCTTGAACCCGTCGTAGGCGCGGCCCTCCAGCATCTCCGGCGCCGCGTACTGCTCCGTCCCGCTGAACGTCGCCAGCAGCTGCCCGGGCCGCTCCACCCGGCACGCCAGCCCAAAGTCGATCAGCTTCACCCGCGCCCCCGCCGGCAACAGTTCTCCTCCTCCTCCTTCTTCTGCTTCTTCTGCTTCCTGCTCCTGCGATGGCCGCCGCTTCGTAGAATCCCGTCGGCGCGTCGTCGTGCTCGTCGTCGTCGTGGGTTCGTCTTCGTCTTCGTCGTCGGTCTCCTCTCCTCGGCTGTCGTCCATCTCACAACGGCCGTTGTCGTCTTCTTCGTCGTCGCCCGCGGCGTCGTGGTGGTGGTGGTGATGCGGCATCGCTGACGGCGGGATGGTGAGCATGAGGTTCTCCAGCTTAATGTCCGAGTGGACGACGCCCCGGGCGTGGCAGTGGCGCACGGCCTCGCAGAGCTGGCGGAAGAGCGGGCGCACCTCGCGGCGCTCGTCGAGCGGACCGCCGCGCCGCTGGACGAAGTCGAACAGGTCGCCTCCGTTCATGTGCTCCAGGAGGAGGTACACGCAGCGATCGTCCTGCGCGGCCTGGTAGAGCCGGCAGATGCCGTCGTGGTCGGCCAGGCGGGTGAGGTGGTCGACCTCCTGCTGGATCCTGTCCCGCCTCTTGCGATTGAGCCGGGCCTTTTCGATGATCTTGACGGCCAGCTTGCGACCCGTGGCGCGGTGCACGGCCTCCCTCACCTCTCCGAAAGTGCCTTGGCCCAGCACACCCTGCAGCGACAGCCCTTCCAAGCTCATCATCATCTTCGCTGGCAAAAGCGCGAGTTGTGTGGATGATGGTGGCAAGCAATTGCTTGTTTGTCTGAAAATCGTTCGATTGATTGAAAGTAGTATTGCTGGCCGAGTACTACTGGGTGCTGGCAGTACTCACCCTACTCGCAATCTAATCTGAAGAGGATTTCCGGCTGTGGTGCTGCCCTACTCCTCTCACTTGGGTTGAAAATTGAAAGGACTGGGAACTGGACGAGGACCTCAGGGTTTGGCGGACAGGAACAAGCTTCTCTTCTTCTTGCGTGTGATTTGATTGAAAAAGCTCGAAAGGGTGCGACTTTTTCCTGGTACCATTCTCCGATTTCGGCGGCATCAACAATGAGAAAAATGTAGGATATGTTTCGCATTCTAATCGAAAAAATTCTAAACACGCACGCACGTTTTCGTACTTCTTTCGGTTAGTGATGGGCAGCTTGCTCTTGCGTCCACTCGTCCTGGATCTGCAGTAGCCGTGCTCGCCATTGCCCATACCCTACAAGGCTAACCACAGTGCACGAGTGTCAGCGTCGTTCGAAGCTTCGTGCAGAGCGCATAACGCACCTCACTCGTCGTTGTTCGCTATCTTCGTCCTCGTCCTCATCTTCATCACCATTGCCTTCCCCGCGGTTGTTGTTGTTGGCCTCTGTTCGCTTGTAGCTTTTGTGCGGGTTGGGTTCGCCATCTTCCTTGTCAAGGAGCTCGAAGTGGAGATCCAACCGGTCTCGTGGCATGAAGTCCATTCCCACACGCTGCGGCCACTCGATCAGGGCAATCTCACTCCTGGCTAAACAAGCCACAACGCAAGTAGAGCCACCGCCATCATCACCACGACGATCCAAAGAGTTCCTCTCTCCTGGGCGAGCACAGCCAGCTGGATCATCGGGTTGTACGTACGCAGGCTGATCCTTGGTGGCCGGGAGGCGGACGTGGCTGGTGCGACGAGTCCCAGTGCCCGCAAGTCATCAGGACCCGTGCACCGAAAGAGGTCCAGGTGCCGAACCCTAAACCCACCCCACGCGCCACGCGGTCAGTCACAGCACCAGGCACCATTACTGATGCGTCATGGGCGATTGTTGGGGGGGGGGTATCACGTGATGTCGGGTCGGGAGGGTGCCGCGTAGTGCAGATCGAGCAGATAGGTGGGCGACGTAACCTGCATGGTCGGGTCATCGAAGAAGCTTCGAACGAAGCACCGAGTAAAGGCCGTCTTGCCCGTCCCCATTTCCCTATGGACACCACGAAGAAAATAAACAATTCCATAAATAAAATAATAAAAACAGACAAGGACGTACCCGGTAAGGCACAGCACATCGGAGCCCGTTGTGTGGTGAGCTAGAAGGCGAGCGAACTTCTCGGTGCACATAAGAGACTGCAAGGTTGCCCCCAGTTGCACGGAATCTTCGTGGGTGGTAGTTGTCAGCCACGTGCGAGCGCCCCAGTGGAGACGCTGCCGGGGCATCACCAGCATTTGCGGACAGGAAACAGCAAAGCCCTGTCTCGTCCACGCTACTCCAACCCAACGTCGCTGCATCTAGCGCAACTGTTGTTTTTCCTTGTTCATTTCTTTAGTTGTTTTCCTCGGCCAGTCGGAGCTGTTTGGAATCATAAAACTTCTTTTTTAACGCCTTCTATTTACAGGGCCTGTTCGCACATCTTGTTCATCTCGGTGTACTGTTGTCCTTCTACTTGACGGTGGCCTTGGCCCGGATCTTGTCCTCGACGTCCTCGAGGGCGAGGTCATCGACGCCGGCGGCCTGGATGGGCAGGCTCATGCCGGCGCCCCACTGGTCGATGAGGCCCTTGGCGCCCTTGGCGAACATGCTCGCCACCATGCGCTCCTTGGTCGACGTGGCCTCGGGCGCCCACAGGATGAACACCAGGCGCGACCGCACGACGCCATCGGCGTGGGCTCGCCACGGCATCTGCGCCACGGCCATGCGGCACTGGTCGCGCGGCAGGCTCGCCACCAGGCTCTCCCACGTCGCCGCCGCCATCTCGCTGCCGGAGTCCGATGATGAAGAAGAGGCTGGCGTGGTGGCGGAGACGGTGTCGATGGTGAGGCAGGACTGCTTGCCGTCGACGAACTTGAGGGTGCAGAAGGGCACGAAGAGCGGCGAGTTGTCGCTGGCGGAGGTGGTGGTGGTGAAGTGGTAGCGCTTGCTGACGGCGACGACAGCCGAGCGCACGTCGTCAGTGAGATGGACAGCTCCGGTTCCGGACACGATCGACATTCTTCTTCTGGTTCCGGGAGGTGTTAGGGCACTTGGCTGGTTGAGTGCTGGTTGTTGGTTGAAATGACTCCACTGGAGACACAGCGAATATTTGAGGTGGTCAACTTCAAGGAAGCCCACCTCCACCCTGTTTCATCGAAGGCAAGGCCGGCCACTCACGTAGTCCGATTCTCCTTGAAAAGAGAAATTGCGGAAGAAATCCTTACCAATCAAATATATTATATTCCAGAGGCACCCCGACAGTCGACATGGAGGGAGTGGCGGCTAAGCTGGTGGGGGTGCGGCCCGCCGCATACCACAAGGTGTGGGACGACCGGTGCGACAACCCTTCCCGTGTGTCGCCTGGTGGGAGTGAGCTCAAGTGTTGTTTTCTCACCATTTTAATTTAAATGCTGCCCCTGTAAAAGGAAGACGGGCAGCAAGCCACACCACGTGTCGTTCTGGAGGCCAGTGCCTCCGCGCGGCTTCCACCGCGTGTCCGACCTTGCCCAACGGTTCCCCGCCCATCGCGGTGCATCTTCTTTCTTTGAGTGCCAAGAGAGAGCTCTGACGATGTCCGTGTCTATGTGCGCATGCGCATGCGCGTGTGTCATGTGACCTTTTGACCACCGTACGCGAACAGCACGCACGAGAAGGAGCCCGCTCAGATGGCCCGCTGTCTGGTAGTAGCGGCCCACGGCAGCGTAGCCGACGGGTCGTCACCCGTGTTGCGCCCGCCCGTGGACTACACGTGCGTGTGGACCGACAAGCGCTCGGGAGGACGCTACGGCAATTGCTCTCTCTGGGTCCGCGATGCACACGCACACGCACACACACAGTACCACCGCATGCGTTCCTTTCCGGACTCGCGCACGACCTGCGCACGTAGTTGTATGAACCTCGATCGTGTGCGGCGCGGTGTCTGCAGGTTCCGGTGGCGCCAGAGGGCTACTGCGCGTTGGGGTGCGTGGCGGTCGTGGGGTACGAGAAGCCGGGGCTCAACGAGGTCATGTGCGTGCACAGTAGCCTCTGCACACCCGCCGGGGTCGTGAGCGAAGATCCGACCGGGCCTCTGTGGAAGGACGCCGGCTCCGGTATGCGGCCTCCATAATTTATTACTTTTTTTATATATTTCTATTACTTTATAACATTGCATTGCGGTGGCACTGTTGCAGGATCGGTCAATGACGTCAGCATATGGACCATGGCGCCGCTAGAGATAGGCGAGGGAATCTGTAACGTGCCCCTCTACCCCGCCACGCCACGCTCTTGCTTCTGCTGAATATTCACTCCCGCTTGGTTGTGCGTGTGTCGTGTGTCGTGTGTTGCGTCCCTGTAGCGATTGACTCCTTCCTGGCGGTGCCGCACCACGGCACCAAGGTCAACCCCGCCCATCCGTTCGCCTTCTGCGGGCTCTACTGCATCTCCACGAGCGCCATCATCATCGAGACCCCCCAGTCTCCCCTCGTCGCCGCCATCGCCGCTGCCGCTGCCTCCGCTACTGCCACCACCGCCGCATCTTCCGCTGTCTCCACGTCGACGTCGGCTTCGATGTGCACTTTCGGCGGATTCGCCTCTGCGCTGGCGTCCCTCGCGGCCCCGGCGACTGCGCCGCTTCTGCCGTTCGGGGTGGACCCTGCCACCCTTCCCCTGGAGCGCGACGACGCCACGGGTGCGCCCACCCCTCCCGCACGGCGAGGAATGTTGAGCATGCAACAGCTACTAACGGCTGCGAGCGTCGGATGCCATTGGTTGGGCATTCAGGTCTGACGGTGCCCAGGGGTCTGGTGGCCCTGCGGCGGCTCTTCTACGCCATGAACGGACACATGGAGGAGGGCATCTTCCGCATCGCCGGCTCGGAGACGGAGTGTCAGAAGATGCAGGCCAGCCTCAACAAACCGAGGAACGTGGACAAGCAGGGCAACTTCAGCTTCGACGTGTTCCCCAACGACGTGCACGCCGTGTCTTCCCTCATCAAGGTGTCCCTCCATCTCTTTCGCTTTTCGCTATCTCTTTCGCTTTCGCTTTCCTGACCCGGGGTTGTGTAATCTAGCGCTGGTACCGGGAACTGCCGGTGCGTCTGCTGGCCGGCAGTGCCGCGTGCGTCGCGGACCTGTCTGGTCGCCTCGCCGCCGCGTATGTGACCCCCCCCCTTGCACAAGCAAAGCAAAGCAAGCACAGACATTCATTTTGTGATCCCAGGGCAGTGCCACTTGACGCTTAGCTCATGTGTTCTTCTTTGCTTTGCTTTGCTTTACGTCGTATAAGGGACGATCGCGCGGTGCTGCTCGAGGAGATCAGAGGCTTTCCCGATAGCCTGCCGCCCCTGCAGAAAGACCTCTTCCTCTTTCTCATGGGCCTCGGGCGCGACGTAGCCCGCAATTCGGCCGTTAACAAGATGGTCCCGCGCAACATCGGTGCGTACCCACCACACACGACACACGCTACACGCATGGCCTGCTACGCACATGGCACCCGACACGAACGAACCCTTCTGTTCGCACATAATTGCTGGCTCAATCCGGTGGATTCACTTCTCCCATTTTCTGGCGCCGTGTGGTGGATCAGCCGTCGTGTTCGCGCCCATGCTCGTGGAGCGAACGTCCCCCATGGAGGAGATGATGCGCACCTCCGAGATCATGCTCTTCCTCGTGGCCTGCCTCGAGCTGCCCGAGCCATGAATGCCGGCCACGAGCGCGCCCTACTTTGTACCCATTTCTATCGCGTTTTAAAAACCAGCAGAATTGCAAAAGAAAACAGGAAAATTCAATCGAGAAAGAAATTAGCGGACTTAGCGTCCAACGTTGGCCGGCCATGTGGCAGCAGCACCGTGGCCTCCGGCAAGGGGCTGGTGTGTGGCGTCCTGCTCCTGCTACTGCTGACGGCAGCAGTCATGGTGCTCGCCCTCCTTCACGCGGTACGCCCCACCCCTCTCGAGACTTGGTCCCTTTTGCCAGTGGTTCACCTTCGTGCGTGGCTTGGGGGGGCACAGGAAGAGAAGGACCCCGGTGGGCCGCCTCCGCTGGTGGTGCAGCTCGAGCGCCGACCGCCCCCCCGCGCTGCGACCGCCGTCAACGCTGAAACCGTCCGGCGCGTCGCGCGGCGCTTTTCCTCCACCGCGTCGGCCGCGGCGCCCACGCCCGTCCCGGCGGACGCCCTCTTCGCCATCGAGGAGGCCTCCGGAGCTCACGACGACGACGACCAGGAGGTGCTCTCCGCGCCCCTCCACCATAACGCTGCCGGTGCGTTGGCCACCACCACCCAGTTCACCATGACGACGACGATGAAGGTGCCGCCCACCAACCGTGTCGTTGCCACTGATCCGTGTGTCGTGATGTGTTGTGTTGTGTTGTGCTGTGTTGTGCTGTGCTGTGCTGTGTGTGTGTGCGTGTGCGTGTGTGGGTGTCGCAGAGTATTTCGTGGAGGTGGCCATAGCCGACGGTAATGGTCACGATCTTCCACGTGCTGTCGACGCTGCTGGGGGTGGTGACGCCGACGGTGATGATGTCGGTAGTGGCGAGCAGCAGCAGCAACAGCAACAACAACCGGAAGTGGAGGAGGAGCGCGGCTCCAAGGTGGGCCGGCAGCGGGGCGCCGGGTACTTCCTGCTGCACGTCGACACCGGGAGCGCGGTGATGGCCCTCCCCTCTCGACTCTGCACCGGCTGCTGCGCCCATTCCCTTCGGTACCGCCGCATTGCCGCCGGATCATGTCGTGCGTGTCATGCGACATCGCGTCGCGTCGCGTTGTGTGTGGTGTGTCGTGTCGTGTGACCTCGTCGCGTTGTGCGCCGTGTGTGTGTGTGTGTGTGTGTGTGCGTGTTGGTGGGCCTTCCCAGGTACGGACGTGAGGAGGAGCGCGGGGTGGCGTGTGCGGAGTGCGGGGGCGGGTGCCACGGGGCGCTGTGCGGGTTCGAGATGGCCTACGCGGACCGCTCGCGCATCGCGGGGGTGCTAGTGCGGGACCGCGTGCACATGGCGGGCGTGGAGTGGGCCGCCACCTTTGGCGCCATCGTCGATGCACATCGCTTCTGCGTGCGGGGCGTCGACGGCATCCTGGGCCTCGCCCGCCCCGGCACCGCCACCAACCCCCTCAACGTACATACGCCCCCCCCAAACCCAGTAGTGAATCTGAAGCGAGCGTTGACACACGCCACCGCACACGCACACGCACACGCACACGACACACACGTGGGGGGGGGTTGGGTGAGAGCAGTGCGTGCCCAACTGCGTGGAACCGCCACTGGATTCTCTGATGCGGGAGCACCCCATGCCCGACGTGTTCGCCCTTCAGCTCCGCGACACAGTACGCCGCTCCCTCTCCGCCCACGATCGCCCCCCGCGACGCCGTTGGCGCTGACCGCCCTCAGGGCGGACGTCTGATCGTGGGCAGCGCGGACGACGGCGTGACGGCTCTGCGCGAACCCGTGGCCTGGAGCGCCGACCTGGGCGCCCACGCCGGGCATTACCGCATCGCTCTCCGCACCATCGCCGTGCTCGACGCGCCGCCCGCCGGCCCCCGCCTCGTCCGCCTCCCTGGCCGCGGTGCTTACCCCCCCCCTCTTCTCTGTGTGTGGAATGCGTTCCGAAGGATAGCACCGCATTCTTTCTATTTTTTAACTTATTTTCTGTTTGTAGGCAGGGCGACGGCAGAGGCGCTGCTGGACAGCGGGACGAGCGTGATCGCCGCCTCGTCTCCGCTCTACGCCGCCATTGTGGCGGCCTTCCTCGCGGGCAACTGCACTACCCGCGGCATATGCGCCCACGCCCGGTACTCGACACGCCACGGCACGACTGCTGAGGGCGGGTCCCGCTGACAAGTAGGACACACTACACGCACACGCGCGACCAACACCACATTAGGGAGAGTGGGGAGCACGTGTTCCAGTACTGCTTCCCGCGCGACTCGTTTCCGATCGACCGCTACCCGGCCCTCTCCCTCGGCCTCGCCCACGGAGTCACCCTCACCCTCCGCCCCAGGTACGCCCACGCAAGTCGCGCATGCATCGGTTCTCTTTATTCATTTATTTATTTATTTTTTATTTCATAAATGTGTAAGTGCACGTAACACACTTTTGTCTATATTGCTGCGTGCACCCGGGAAACCTGTACCTTACGTCAATGCTGCAGGCAGTACCTGCTAGAGCGGTTGGCCGACGACGGGACCACCGTGATGGTGTGCTCCGCCATCCGCGAGACCAAGGCCTCCCACGCCAGCCTCGTGCTCGGCGCGCCTTTCTTCCGAGGTACGCAGAGGAGGAGGAATACCACCATCGCACGACGAGCCAGCAGCTGATTGCATTTGCCCTCCTCCTCCTCCTCCTCTTCATCTTCTTCTTCATCTTCAGCATTCCACACCGTGTTTGACCGGGTACCCCCCTACACAGCTTCCTTCCTTTCCTCGTTCTCGCTTGGCTACATGGTTTTTGTTAATGTGTGTCGTGTGTCGTGTGTCGTGTGGACAGGGTAACGGGCGCATCGGTTTTGCGGAGCATGCCGACGGCGAAGGTGGAGCAGTCGAGGTCGACCCCGACTACCGGGAGCCCGCGCCTGACCTCGCCCTCTACACCTCGTGGTCCCGTCCCTCATTCCCCCCTTGGCCCGAAAGAGCTGAGGCGAACCGCAATATGTGTGCCGAGCTCACCAAACTCTCTCTCTGTGTGTGTGTGTGTGTGCGTGTGACAACACAGGGAGAACGGGGCCGGGGTATGGGTGGGGCTGGCCCTCGTGGGTGCCCTGGTCTCCGTCTGTGGCGGGGTGCTGGTGTGCCTCTACGCTCGTCCCCCCGTAGACCGTGCTCGTCCCCGTGCCCGTGCCCGAGGCCGTGCCACCTGATCGGAGGGCTGACCAACAGCTGACCCCCCTGATCGGGGAGAGGGGCCGACAAGGAGGACTTCCGTTCAACGCCGCCATTCCCGCGCTGGCAGGTCGCCCGTCGACCGACCACAAGGACAAACGTCATTCGTGTCCTCTGTGCGGCCAATCCTGGCTGACCGAGTCAACGCCCTCGCCACAGATCACGGCGGCGTAAGAGAGCCCCACCGGATCGGCGTGTCTTTCCTCCTCCCGCCGGAGAAGCACACACTGTCATCCCTCTTTCCCACAGCACCTCCTGTCATCTGAAAGCATTCCTATGTTTGGTTGTAAGATCTAGATACAAGTATATTTATATATATATTTATAAACGCTTCATCTGTACACCACCGCTCCCAAACCCTTCCTTCCCTTACAGGGCAGCAGCAGCAGCAGCACGCGCGCTACTGCCATTATTCACAAAAATGTCTCGCTTTCGCGAGCTTTCCTCTCTCTCCTCTCTCTCTTGTGTGGTTGGTTGTGTGAGGAGAGCTAGGAGTCCTTGGACATGGAGAGGAAGCTCTCGATGGTCTGCTTGAGGGACTCGGCGTGGATGGGCTTCGATATGTAGCCGTCCATGCCGCCCTCGAGGCACTTTTCGCGGTAGCCTTGGATGGCGTGGGCGGTCATGGCGACGATCGGGGTGTGGCCGCGGCCGGCCTGCTTGCTCTCGAGGCCACGGATCTTGGCGGTGGCCTCGAAGCCGCCCATCTCGGGCATCTGGACGTCCATGAGGATGAGGTCGAAGCTCTGCGTCTTGGCGATGTCAACGGCCTTGCGTCCGTTGTCGGCGAGGGTGACCGAGTAGCCGAAGCGCTCGAGGAGGCGGATGGCGAGCTTCTGGTTGACGACGTTGTCCTCGGCCAGAAGAATGCGCTGCCGGGGCTTCTCGCCGCCGTGAGAGCCGGCGCGGCCATCGGAGGCGTGCGGGCTGCCGCGGTGGGCCGACCCGGGTCCGCCGGGCAGCAGCGACGAGGTGGGCTCGAGCAGGTCGAAGGGCTTGAGCAGGGCGCCGAGGAGCTCGCTCTGGCCCACGGGCTTGGAGATGTAGGCGCACGTGGGCGGGCACGAGTGCCAGCTGACGAGGTCGCGCTTGGTGGCGGTGGGCGAGAGGGCCATGATGATGGTGGTCTCCTTGGTCACCACCTGCAGGCTCTCGCTGAACTGCGCGATCGTGAGGCCCTCGAGGTCATCCGGGATCTGCGACACGAGCAGCACGTACTCGAACGGTCTCTGCACCATCACCGACTCGGCGTACAGCTGGCTGGCCTCCCGCACCGTGTCCACCACGATCGGCTCCATGCGCCAGTTGAGCAGCGTCTGCGACAGGATGCGCCGCGACGTCTCGTTGGCGTCGGCCACCAGCACCCGCCGCCCGCCCAGCACCGCCGTCGACCGCTCGCGCGGCAGAGAGCTCTCCTCGCGCGCCAGCCCGAACGTGGCCGTGAAGTGGAACAGCGAGCCCTTGCCCGGGTTGCTCTCCGCCGTCAGCTTGCCCTGCATGAGCTGCACCAGCCGCGTCGAGATCGTCAGCCCCAGGCCCGTCCCTCCGTACTTGCGCGTGATCGACCCGTCGGCCTGCGAGAACGCCTCGAAGATCACCGACAGCTTGTCCGGCGGAATGCCTGCCGTACAAATATGATGTGTAGGGGGTCAGGTGGTGGTAGTGGTGGTGGTGTTGGTGGTGGTGGTGGTGGTGATGATGATGATGATGATGACGATGATGGATTGATCACCGAGCGCTGTGCAGTGGAACGTCGAGTGCGTACCGATGCCCGTGTCGCGTACGGCAAAGTGGAGTACGACGGCGTCGGCCTTGCGCTCCTGCATCTTGACCGAGAGGACGACCTCGCCCTGCGACGTGAACTTGATGGCGTTGCCCACTAATCGATTATGGGTTGGAGTCAGACATCCAATGGACTAAAACAACAACAACAACAACAACAACAACAACAACAACAACAAGAAGCCAGAAGAAGAAGAGCGACGCGGGCGTACCTAGGTTGATGATGACCTGCCGCAGCCGCACGGGGTCGCCCACCAGCTTGTCGGGCAGGGTGGGCTCGATGTCGCTCAGCAGCTCGATACCCTTTTCGTGGGCCTTGAGCGCCAGCGCCTTGAGCGTGTCGCCCAGGGTCTCGTGTAGCGACATATCTGCATTCCGGCCATTCCTCGTTAGTTAGCCCCGAAACAGCACTGAGGAGAGAGAGCAACAAAGAAGGGGTGCTGGTACCGATGTGCTCAATGTCGAGCTTGCCGGCCTCGATCTTGGAGAAGTCGAGGATGTCGTTGATGATGGTCAGGAGGCCGAGCGCGGAGGAGTGCACGAGCTTGAGGTAGTCCCGCTGCTCCGAGTTCAGCTGCGTGTCGAGGGCAAGCTCCGTCATGCCGATGATTCCGTTCTGCGCCCGCGAGAGTCAATGAGCGAGAGCGCACAAGCAGTGTGTGTGTGTCAAATGCGTACCATGGGCGTTCGAATCTCGTGGGACATGTTAGCCATGAATTCGGTCTTGGCGCGGTTGGCCTCGTTGGCGAGCGCGGTCTTGATGAGCATCTCCTTGAGGGTGCAGATCATCTCGTTGATGATGGTCTTGAGGGTGTTCATCTCGCCGTAGGCCTCCACCGTGATGAAGCGCGTGAAGTCGCCCTTGGTCACCGCGCGGGCCACCTCGGCGATGGCGCGCACCTGGTTGGTGAGGTTGGCCGCCATCGTGTTGACGTTGGTCGTGAGGTCCTCCCAGATGCCGCTCACGCCCTTGACCTGGGCCTGGCCGCCAAGCTTGCCCTCCGTGCCCACCTCGCGCGCGACTCGTGTCACCTCGGAGGCGAAGGTGTTGAGCTGGTCGACCATGGTGTTGATCGTGTTCTTGAGCTCGAGGATCTCGCCCTTGGCGTCAGCGGTCATCTTCTTGGAGAGGTCGCCCTTGGCCACGGCCGTGGTCACCTGCGCGATGGCGCGCACCTGGCCGGTGAGGTTGGCCGCCATGGTGTTGACGTTGTAGGTGAGGTCCTTCCAGATGCCGCTCACGCCCTTGACCTGGGCCTGGCCGCCGAGCTTGCCCTCCGTGCCCACTTCGCCAGCAACGCGGGTCACTTCGGAGGCGAAGGAGTTGAGCTGGTCCACCATGGTGTTGATCGTGTTCTTGAGCTCGAGGATTTCGCCCTTGACGTCGGTGGTGATCTTCTTGGAGAGGTCGCCGCGCGCCACGGCCGTGGTCACTTCGGCGATGGCGCGCACCTGGCCGGTGAGGTTGGCCGCCATGGTGTTGACGTTGTCCGTGAGGTCCTTCCACGTGCCGGCGACGCCGCGGACCATGGCCTGGCCGCCGAGTTTGCCCTCCGTGCCGACTTCCAGCGCGACTCGCATGACCTCGGAGGCGAAGGTGTTGAGCTGGTCGACCATGGTGTTGATCGTGTTCTTTAGTTCGAGGATTTCGCCCTTGACGTCGACCGCGATCTTCTTGGAGAGATCGCCACTGGCCACGGCCGTGGTCACCTGCGCGATGGCGCGCACCTGGCCGGTGAGATTGGCCGCCATGGTGTTGACGTTATTCGTGAGGTCCTCCCAGATGCCGCTCACGCCCTTCACGTGGGCCTGGCCGCCGAGCTTGCCCTCCGTGCCCACCTCGCGCGCGACTCGTGTCACCTCGGAGGCGAACGAGTTGAGCTGGTCCACCATGGTGTTGATCGTAAGCTTGAGCTCGAGGATCTCGCCCTTGGCCTCGGCGGTCATCTTCTTGGAGAGGTCGCCCTTGGCCACGGCCGTGGTCACCTGCGCGATGGCGCGCACCTGGCCGGTCAGACGGGCCGCCATGGTGTTGACGTTGTGTGTGAGGTCCTTCCAGATGCCCGAGACATCCTTGACGTTGGCTTGGCCGCCGAGCTTGCCCTCCGTGCCCACCTCGCGCGCGACGCGGGTCACCTCGGAGGCGAAGGAGTTGAGTTGGTCCACCATGGTGTTGATTGTGTTCTTGAGCAGCAGGATTTCGCCCTACCAACGAGAGAGGTGCCACATACGTGTGGTAAGTAGACCTGTGTGCGCCCCAGATCCCGAGAAGAGAGAAGAAAAGAGAAAAGCGAGGATGGTGACGACGACGATGAGGCGGGTTCGAACGCACTTGCGCTTCAGCAGTGATCTTCTTGGAAAGGTCGCCATTGGCGACTGCAGTAGTGACGAGGGCGATCGCGCGCACCTGACCGGTGAGGTTGGCCGCCATGGTGTTGACATTGTCCGTGAGGTCCTTCCACGTACCCCCGATTCCTGCGCACGCTCTCGCGTGAGTCTTGAATGGCACACACAACAGAGAGAGAGAGAGAGAGCGTGCGCAGCCCAAACGACACACGACGCACGACACGAGGGGAAATGGGCACACCTGTGACCTGGGCCTGGCCGCCGAGCTTGCCCTCCGTGCCCACCTCGCGCGCCACTCGCGTCACCTCGGAGGCGAAGGCGTTGAGCTGGTCGACCATGGTGTTGATCGTGTTCTTCAGTTCTAGAAACTCGCCCTTGGCTTCGGCGGTCATCTTCTTGGAGAGGTCGCCGCGCGCCACGGCCGTGGTCACTTGGGCGACGGCGCGCACCTGGCCGGTGAGGTTGGCCGCCATGGTGTTGACGTTGTCCGTGAGGTCCTTCCAGATGCCGCGGAGGTCCACGGCTTCGGCCTGGCCGCCGAGCTTGCCCTCGATGCCCACGTCGCACACCACGCGCAGCACCTCCTCGTTGAAGCTGTTGAGCATGCGGATCATCTCCGTCAGGGATTGTGAGGTGTGCTGGTACTCACCCTGCAGCTGCCAAGCGCGTGGGGGAGTTAATACACTGAAAATTCACATAAAAAACATAAACTCCCCTACCCCCAGTTGTGGTGTGCTGGAGGCGCCAGGTACCTGGGGCTGGTTGTTGATGAGGGAGAGAGCGCAGGAGAGGTCACCGTCGGCAACGGCTCCGATGGCATCGCGAACGAGGATCATGGGTTGGACCATGTTGTCGATGAGCTGGTTGGCCGAGTCCACGCAGCGACCCCAGGCCCCGCCGGGGGCGGGCAGATTAACACGCTGCTCGAAGTCGCCCTCGACGGCGATGGCCAGATGCACACGCTCGATCTCGTTGCACAGGGTGTCGTTGGCCAGGGCGATGCGGTTGAACACGTCGGCTATCTCGCCATAGACGCCGTCAGCGTTGGGGTCCAGCCTGACGCTGAAGTCGCCGGCCTCGAGGCTCTTGAGGGCCTGCAGGAGGACCACTTCATGGTCCGTGAAGCGCATGCCCATAGGAGAAGGACAGGAGCTCTTTTCCTCCACGTCCGTCCACCCGCCTCCTCCTCCTCCCACGACTAAGCGGCTTGTGCGCAACGTCTTCGTCTACGTGAGGCTTGCTCGGCCGTTCGAGAGGATGTGGAGGCGCGTCCTCTACGCGGCGGGTACGGTAAGGTGAACGCGGAAGGGAGCTGTTTGGGGGGGGGCGAAGCGAGTAGCGCGGCTGGCGAACAGGATGGAAGAAGAAGAAAGAATGCGTGGTGAGCGGGGCTGGAGCGGCGGAGGTTCGTGTGTGCGTGCGTGTCTGTCGGCTGTCAATTCGCGATGTAGAAGGGGTGTGGGTAGAGTGGAAGGGAGTTTCACTGGGCTCTGGCGATGATGTGTTCGTGTGTGGGTTGGTCGTTGTAGTGCTGGCGAGTGGTTCGTGTCCGGTTGATGGGTGGGCGGGGGCGGTTCTTCGGAACGCGGCCGTCTCAGACCAGGGCGCAGGCGCTGAAGGGGCCTCTCTCTGTGGGTGGTGCGTGTGCGTGGGGAGCAAAGGAGGAAACAAACAACTGAAGCGGCGGTGCGAGCGAGACGTCGGAGTCAAACCTGCGGGAATGGACCGCACCAGGGAGTGGTGATGGTTGGTGCGAATCCGCAGCTCTTCTCCGCATTTCCGCCGTCTCGGCCCCGTTGATGGCTTCTCACCAAGCTGACACCAGGCCGATAGACAGGGCGCGTGCGCATGGCCAGGACCATAGAAGGGTTGATGCCAGTTCGATGTGTGCGGCATCTCGCCGAGTTGCCGGCCATTCCCCATCCGAGGAGTTCCGCGGATGACCTGGTTGGCCGGAGCGGCGACGATTGGCTACAGAGAGTCCGTGATCAGCTTGACATTTCCCCAGCACGTGCGCGTCTGGTCTGGTGTCAGCCCACGGCGAGACGAGACAGCCATCCACTGCTGTGAAGCCCTGTCTGTCGCCGTCGTGCGCCTTCGGCCATCAGTGCAACCAGCACACGGGCGTGACGGCGGCAACAGTGGCCGCCCTCGCTCACTGGCCGTCCCCATTTCCTGGACCAGGAACAAGAATGCCCGCAGCGCCCCCCACCTCTTGTCAGCTTCCTTCCTTACCCCCCCCCCCCGGGGTCCCAAGCAAGGTGGCTTTCGCGAACAATACTTGTTTTGGTGGCTGGGTGGCGCACCACGGATTTACAATAACAGTAACAACAACGACAACGACAACGACAACTACAACGAGACGAAGCGCGTGCGCACAGTTCTCTTCAGCTCTTCTCGCCACTTCGAGAGGTTTGGGGGGGAGGCGAGATTACTTCTTCTTGCTCTTAGCGTCGCCGGCAGCAGCGTCATCTTTCTTCTTTTGCTTCTCCTCCTTGTCCTTGGAGTCCTTGGAGTCCTTATCCTTCTTCTGCTTGTCCTTCTTGGCCTTGTCGGAGGGGCTCTTGTCGCCATAGGTGGCCCGCTGGGTTCCCACGACGGCTGTGCGCGCTGCCCATGCCAGCGTGGTGGAGGGTGCGCCTCGCGTTCCCTGGGGAGCAGCGTAGCGCGCCCACACAGGAGCGGCGCTCGGTCGCGAGGTTCTAGTGATGGCAGCAACACGGTTCATCTTTCCTTCGTCGGGCACTTTTTCTTTTTCTTTTGTCTATTTTTTTAACGATTTCGCTGGCCATTTGTTGCCCCAAAATTTTGATTGGTCGTACTTACGTCGGCCGCCTCCTCAAAGAGTTTTCCCTGGGTCGGCCCCTTGGCTTGGTGCATAAACTCGGAAGTAAAGACGCGAGCGTGGTGATGGAAGCTTCGCGGGCGTGCGCGCTGCTGGCCACAGTCCTGGTGGCGGCGGTCCTGGCGTGCTTGTGCGCGGAAGGTGTGTGCCGGTGCTCTTCGGTGGCGGCAGGTTTGTGCCAGGTGCACCTGCTCAAAGCGATGGCGGTATTGGGGGGGGGTGGGCGGTGGGCCGTGGGGTAATTGTTTCTGCAGGGGCCGAGGGCGAGGTGGTGTTTCTGCCCCTCGACGAGCGGTTCACCACGCGCGACGCATTCGTGAACATGGCCCTCTCACACACGCCGTACACGCTCCGCTCCCCGCCCCTGGCCATCCTGCCGCACATCCGCGAGGCCGCGGACATTCCCGCCCTCCAGAAATGGGTCGACCACGCCCTCCTCTCTCCCCACCGTATGTCGACTCGCCCCACTCGTGTGTATACAAAGGGTTCAAGAATATGTGGTGTTTGTGGGTGTGTGCGGTGTGCGCCATCCCATATGGGCGCTTGCTCATACATCACCACCTCTCTCTCTCTCTCTTCCGGAGTCGTCGTCGCCGGTGCAGGGCGGCATCCCGCGGGAGAGGCGGACGAGCGTGAGATGATCCTGTCCAGCGAAATGTACCTCGTACGCACTACCCCAAACATTGGCCTCGTTGCTTCGAGGCATGATGATTATGATGGTGGTGGAGGAAGCACACATATTGTTCACCAGTGCCCCCCCCCCCGATGATGTCGCCATTCGTTGTGTGTACCGTCAGTACGGGGGACTCATCGGCTCGCGGATCTCCAACTGGACGCAGGCGGAGGTTTGCACCACCATCGTGCGGGGGCACCATCGTGCGGCGCTAATTTGCTTACCACCCCCGGGCGGGTGGGGCGATTTGGGGTGGGGGGGTGCCTGGACGGCAGGTCGAAGGTCGGCTGGCCAAGTTGGTGGCCTACAAGCAGCAGCTCGGCGACGGTGTGAAGATCTACGCCTCGGCCGTTATCATGCGCATCCCGGCCTATAACTCCGGATTTGAGGACCAGTGGTAGGCCCTCCCTCCCTTCCTTACCCATGTCGACACGACACACGACGCACACGGCACACACACGACACACACGACACGCACGACAACACCATACACACACGACACACACACACAGAGAGAAGCTCCACCGTGATGTTCCCATCCAATCGCCAGGTATTGGGCGTATTACGGGCGGGACCTTTTCCAGTTTTCGTACTTTATGGACAAGTACGACACGCTCCGCCAGCCGGCGGACCTCGCCACCGCCCAGTCCTACCGGGTACGCCGACCACGCGTGCCGCCCTTCCACCACCCCACTCCTCTTTCTTGGTGGTGGTGGTGGTGGTGGTGGTCGTGGTGGTGGTGGTGGTGGTGGTCGTGGTGGTCGTGGTGGTCGTGGTCGTCGTGGGTCGTGGTGGTCGTGGTTTGATGCCTTCGAGTTCGGCAGAGTAAAGTCCCGCCGGCGGTCGTGGAGGACTGGCTGTGGAGACGCAGCAGGAACTTCAACGTCACCAAGGCCATCATCGAGCAGCAGTTCCTCTGGAAGAAGCAACACAACCGTACCTCCCTTCGCCCCTTCACGGGTTCTTCGTCCACGGAGCACGTGGTGCCTCCGGCACCACCGCCACAACCGGAGTGATATATATTCACACACACACCGATGCTGATGTGTCTATGGCAGAGCGGCTCTTCGAGAAACTCTATGTCACGCAGGACGATAATGCAGAGTACGGGTTCAACATCGCCGAAGCCGAGAAGCTCAAGGCCCTGGTGCGGCAGTACGGCCTCGAGGAGGACATCTACATCTACCCCGGTGCTGACGAAGGTGCCAGGCCTCCACGCGTGCGCCTTGGCCTTGAACTCTGCATCTCACCCGTGTGCGTGTGCGTGTGCGTGTGCGTGTGCGTGTGCGTGTGCGTGTGCGTGTGCGTGTGCGTGTGCGTGTGCGTGTGCGTGTGCGTGTGTCGGCGGGGTGGTGCGTACCATATCGACTATTCAGTGGGCTTGACAATGCTGGCGCAGAGCAGTGTTCGCAAGGAGGGCAAGAGCCCCCGGATCAAGTTGGTCTTCCGTGACCCGGCCACCATCAACTTGATCCCCAACTACGAGGGCCAGCCCATGATCCAGTTAACTTTTACCTGCTCTCGTCCTCCACCAGACTTGTCCACCACCGCCACGGCCACAGCCACGGCCACCACGTCAGCCACCGCTGCCACACCACCGCCACCGCAGCTCTTGACCCCCCCCCGCGGGTAGCAGTGGTTGGGGCGCTGAGGGTGCGGTGTTATGATTCCCAGGACTCTCGAGGACCAGATCAAGGCGGCGGGAGGCAGCCTGACCAATGACACGGAGGCGGCGTCCGTGATCCTGCTCGTGAACAACTTCTCCCACCAGCCCCAGACCGAGGCGCCTCATCAGCCGCTCAACAGGTACCCCCCCCTCTCACGCCAACCCCCAACCCCCCAACTCAACCGCTCGCGCAGTGGTTGTGTGCCCAGAGCTGGGCACTCTGTGAGTGAATTCTGACCCGCGGGCTGCGCAGGTCGATTGCCGAGTACGCGGTGTTCGATGCCTACCTCGCGGCGGCGATGAGGAATCCCCGGGTGGTGGTGGGGTTCGCCGACAACCGCTACTCCAACGGGGCCGACGTCGTGCTCATCCGGTACATGGAGAGCCAGCACTCATCCGCCTCCCACATCCCCATGTCCAAGTACGTACCCCCCTTGCCCCCTTGCCCCTCCCCCGCTCGTTCTCCCGTCTTGGTGGGTCGTGGGTCCCAACGGCAAGACCTCCAGCTTGACTTGGCTCGTTCGGTGCTCCTTCGGCGCGTGCCTCCGCCACGCCACGCCAGGTTTGCCTACGCCGGATGGAACACGGACGGCAATACGCTGGGCACGGTCATCTCCTCGTCCCTCCTCATGGCCCTCTTCCCGGCCAAGCGCGAGGTACGATGTGAGGTCCATCCTCATCTCGCTTTTCCTTCGTCTGCCCCCTCCTTCGAATCTAGACGTACGCGCCTCCATTGGTGACTGGCTGAGTGGCTGGCTGGCTGGCTGGCTGGTGGCTGTGACTGGGTGACCGTGTCGTGGAGCGAAGGAGAGCACGTGGTTCAATGCGCAGCGCATCCTGGAGGACTGCAGCTACCAGGCCCAGTGGCGGCAGGGCCTCGTCGCCTACACGGCGCTGGCTGGCGACGACCCCAACCTCCTCTCCCGGGACCTCCCCTTCTACGAGCAGCTCTCCTACAAGGTTCCCGCGGGAACGCAGCCGCTCTTCTTCTTCTTCTTCTTCCCACCGCGCTGCTGCTGTGTGTGCCCTCACATTGTAAACGCTGCGTGCCAGGTGCTGGCGGAGGACTTCAGGGTGATCACGCGCGTGTACGGCCTGCCGTGGACCCTCGACGCCATCTACTACCCGTGGCGGCGCGCCTTCGAGATCGGCTTCCGGTCCTCCTAACGTCGTGTATGCACACAATCGGCACAACATGGGGCAATTTATTGGGGCAATGCGAGTACCGGAGGGGGGGGACAGAAAAGGCGGCGACGAGTTCTACCCACTACTCCACCGTCCAATCAGCTCGCTCCTCTGCGGCAAGCCGGAGCTCCCTCTTCTTCTTTGCCTCTTGCAAGCGCGCTCGTTGTAGTAGAGGACGGACGTACACGCCACCATATGAAGGCATCGCGACTGTTGTTGGCCGTGCTCACCGTCGTGGTGGGGCTGGCCGCATTCGGCGCCTCGGCTGCCATCGAGAGTAGCCTGTCCGCCAAGGGCAAGCACTTCGATCGCGTCTTCATCATCATCCTCGAGAACCAGCCCTACGTTGAGTACCAGCGCGCTCCCCCCCCCGCTCTGCCATTTCTTTCCCTTTTCCTATTTTTCTTTTTTGGGGCTGACGCACTGCGTGTCCCTCTCCTCGTTCGCCACGCACGTGCAGCGTGATCAGGAACGACCTCTTCAAGAAGCTCGCGGAGCGCGGCACCCTCCTGACCAACTACAGGGCCGTCGCCCACCCCTCCCAGCCTAACTACCTCGGTCCGCCTCCACCGCTTTGTCGCCACCACCCGCCACCCAGCAGCAGCGGAAATACTCACGTGTGGTGGTGGCGGCGGCGGCGGCGGCCGGCGTCGTGGTGGTGTGCACAGCCATCACGTCGGGCAACGACTGGGGCGTGAATGACGGGCCGGTCAACATCAACACGCGCAACATCGTGGACCTCCTCGAGGCCAAGGGTCTCTCGTGGAAGGCCTACGCCGAGGACTACCCGACCCCGGGCAGCTCCCAGTGCTTCACCAACGAGAGCGCGGGCGGCCTCTACTACCGCAAGCACGTGCCCTTCGTGTCCTACGACAACGTCCGGTACCGACGCCCTCCTCCTCCTCCTCCTCCTCCCTGATGATGATGCTCGATGCTGCTGCTCGATGCTGCTGCTCGATGGATGGCCGGCGAGCCATCGGCCCACTCCCCACACAACAGGCTTTCCCTTACCCTGCGCGCGGTGTGTCGGTGTGTGTGGGGATAGGACCAACGCGGCGCGTTGCCAGAAGATCGTGGACGGGAAGCAGCTCGATGTCGACATCAAGAACAACGCCGTGCCCCACTTTTCCTTCTACACCCCCAACATCAACAACGACGGTGTGCCCCCTCCCCCCATTCTTCATCATCCTCATCCACCATCGTTCCCGCCCCGCCTCCAAATCCCGTGGCCACCACATCCTCATTGCCCCCCCCCCCAAACCCCCATGTGACTTTTGCCTTATTGTTATCAATATACTACTAATAATGTGTGTCGTGTCAGGTCACAACACGGGTCTCGGGTATGCGGCCAAGTGGATCACGACCTTCCTGGGTCCGCGCCTGCACGAGAACAACTTCGTGGAGGGCACCCTCTTCGTGGTGACCTTCGACGAGGACGACTACTCCCACGACAACCACATCTACACCCTCCTCCTCGGTACAACCTCCAAACCCTCCCCCCTCCCCCAATCTCGCTCCAACTGCTGCCTACCCCCCCCCTTTGGATGGGGGCTGACGACTTTGCTCTTCTGGCTTTGTGGCCGGCAAAAGGCCCCATGGTGGACCCCAACGCCTACGACAGCACGCACTACGACCACTACTCGCTCCTGCGCACCATCGAGAGCAACTGGGAGCTGGGCAACCTGGGTCGCAACGACACCAAGGGCAACACCTTCGACAACGCCCTCACCCACTCCACCGCCTTCTGAGAGCCAACCGCACGTGCAGCCTCTCCGGGAGTACTTCCGTGTTTTTGCGCTTCCAAAAGAAGAACAGCTTTTTTCTTTTTTTTCTTTTTTGTGCCAGCAGAGCATGGCCACGCGAGCCAGCCGGTCGTCATCGTGCCTCCTGCGCGCGGCCAAACGGACGGCCGCCGCCAGAGGGAGCACCGCGAGCAGCAGCAGCAGTGCCGCTGATAGTCAGGTGCAGCGTGGGCGGTGGCTGCCCCCGTGGCCCCTGATGGCCCTCACGGCGGTGGTGGGGGTGGTGTCGGGCTTCTACATCTTCCAGCCGCTCCTTTCCCAAGCCGCAGCCTCCCGCACTACCAGCACCAGCAGCAGCACCGGTGGTGCCGCCCTCGCGTACGTGTGGCCTATCCACCACCATTTAGCAGCTTTTCCGCCCCCGCCCCTCACGCTACGCTGGTGTGGACGATGCCACAGGAGCACTACTACTACTCCGTCAGAGTCCGAGAGGGCTGCAGCAGGCAGCGACGTACCCAAGTAGTAGTAGTATTAGACACCACAGACCACAGGCGCGCAGCAGCAGCAGCAGCAGCAGATGGATGCTGGCGGCATGGTGGTGGGTATCGATCGCTCCGCCTGCGTGCTAAGTCGGTGTGTGTGTTAAACTCAGATCGTCATGCCAATAAATAGGGTACTTGCTGCTGCGGATGACACGATTCGTCTTCTCTCTCTCTCTCTCTTCTCGTGGCGCACTCCGCACCACGGGCTGAGCAGCCGCCGCTGGGTCCGTTCCCGAGTGGTCTTCTTTTATGGCGCAGTTCTGTTTTACAGTCCAGCCAAGAGAGCACGAAAAGAGAATGCGAGCGGCGTCAGGGACCGCCAGTGGGTGCCCTATTGGGGAGGGAGGGGGGGGGTTCGTTGGTGGATGGGGGAAGGGGGACGCGTACACGTAGGGGCAGTAGTGCGAGTCGATGTCCTCGAGGTGAATGAAGAGGAGGTAGAAGTCCATGTACGTGTCCATGTAGTGGATGGCGTAGCCGGACATGTTGAAGTTACCCTCCCTGCCCACATGTGATGTGTGAGTGGAAATATTGTCGTTGCTCCTCTGAAAACAAGCGAGTGTGTCTCGTGTGTCTCGTGTGTCTCGTGTGTCGTGTGTCTGTGTGTGTCTGGGTGTGTCGTGTGGCGGGCGGGGGAGGAGGTGTACCGGAGGGCAGCAGCGGCCTTGGCCTGGTAGCCCGTTTGGGTGCTGGGGCCAAAGAGTTGCACGTAGGGTTGGGCTACGAGGGTGGAGGGCTGCGGGCAGCTGAAGCCCGGCGCGGGCAGTTGCCCAAAGTAGAACAGGCGGTCGAGGACCAGCTTGAACTCCTGCATGTGAGCACCCACGCCACGCCACGTCACGTCCCGTATGTAGATACATAGTATATGGATAGAAAACTCAGTAGTGCGAGAGGGAGGCCGGGAGGAAGCCCGACACCAAAAAAGGAACCACGACAGCGCCCCCCCCCGATGGAAGGAGGAGGTTGGGGGGGGGTGTACGTCAGCCGCGTCGTCGGTGGTGTTGAAGGTCAGGCAGGACCACCTGCGCAGGACGGCGCTAAGGCGTTTGCTGTTCTTGGTCTGGTCCAGCCGAAGGGTCTCCAACAACCTGACCCCCATCATTGCCCCGCCCCACCGCCGATGCCATCACCATGCCGGCACGCCATCATCATCAATGCATCAGTCATCGGGAAGACCAAGATACTGCCGCATCACACCCACCAGCTTTCCAGGAGAGCGAAGGGCGCGTACCGCAGCAGTTCGCGTCCGCTGGTCGGGTACTGGCTGGTGCTGCCGGGAATCCTCTCCACCAGGTTCTGGTCGTACAGCTCGGCCTCCTCTGCGCAGCCACCAGCCACAACCACCACGACCACGACCACCACCACGACCACGACCACCACGACCACGACCACGACCACGACCAGCCACACGGCGATAATGAGTCGTGGCCGTGCCAACGGCGAGGGACAAGACAGCCGTGGAATGGGATCATGCCAGACCCTCCCCCCAGGGGGAGGGGTGGTAGTACGTACCATCGCCATCGCCGCCGCCACCACCAGGAGCAGTAGCGTCGTCAGCTTGGCGGCGGGCGTAAGGGAACGCAGTGTAGGTGGTGAGGCATAGGTCCGAATTGAGCACGTTGGGGAACCGGTAGTGCACGTCGTCGAAGAGCTGACCTAAAGGGGGCCATGAGGAGAGGAGGAGAACACACCAGCCACCATCAGCCACCAGCCGCCAGCCATCAGCCGCCACCGCCACCAGCCACCACGACCACGACCACCGCCAGCGGCCACCACCACCACTCGTTGTTGCGTTGTGTTGGTTTGCAGCGGCGGCAGCGGCGGCAGCGGCGGCGGGGGGAAATGAGCTAAGGGGCGGCGGTGGGTGCGCATACCAGTGATGTTGAGCCATCCGGAGATGAGGCGAGAGTACTCGTACGCGAATACGCGCACCTGGGCCTCGAATGTGATGGTGATGGTCTGCATGATGTGGTGTGATGTGGTGTGATGTGATGTTTGATTGCAACAAAAGTAAGAAGAACGGACTGTCGCCAAAGGACACGTCACGCACTCACACACACGACACACGACACACGCACGCGCACGCACGAGGCACGAGGCACGAGACACGACAGGGAGGGACTGATGGTGGCCGGTGGTGGGCTGCTTTGACTTACCTCGTTGGGCTCGAGCCGGGTGATGTAGGCCAGGATCTTGGTCTCGTCGCTCGGGTAATCGTAATTCACCGTCAGCACGCCCGTGCTCCTGTGGCGGGCAGCGGCGGCCGTGAGGGAGAGAAGGCCCGCGAAGGATTGAGTGGCAGGTGCACACAACGCGGCCCGCTTAATAATTCCGCACACACACGACACACACAACACACACGACACACACGACACACGACACACCCTCGACACACACACACACACACACACCCGGGTTGATGGGGAGGAGGTACAGCTGGACGGTGCTTCGGAGTACGCGGAGGAGACTGTTGTCCGGCACCAGGGTGATGTAGATGTTGAGGGCCTGCCACCCACCAGCCACCACAACTCACGGCCGTGAGTATCGGAACTTGAGGAAAGGGGGGAGTTCAGAAAGGGGGGCACGTACGAAGAGGAAGCGGATGTTGGTGATGTTGTAGGTGAAGAGGATGGTGTCGCCGGCGTCGATCACCCCGTTGTAGTTGTCCCGGATGAGCTGGTGGCCCGACGTCACGTTGAGAATCGTGTCTGCGAAGGGAAGGAGGTGAGACGAAGCAAACAAGTAGCGGAGGAGGAGCCACGAAGAAGAAGGGAAGAAGAAGAAGAAGAAGAAGAAGAAGAAGAAGAAGAAGAAGAAGAAGAAGAAGAAGAAGAAGAGATCGAGGTGGTGCAGCTAGAGGCAGGGGATATGGTGGGGGGGAGGGGTGGGGCGTACAGGGCCTGAGGGAGAACACGAGCGGGAGGGGGTAGAGGGGCGCCGTGAAGGTGTGGGCGGCGTTGGCGTTGGGCAAGATGGGTACGTAGTCCGGTGTCAGCGGACTCGGTCCAGGCGTGGGCACCACCAAGCGCTCCGAGTACGGCACTGTGCGCGGAGAGACGCCAAAGGGTGGGGGGGGCGAAAGAGGCGAAAGGGGCGGAAACAGAACAGCCAAGGCGTGAGACCCCTCCACTATAACCCCCGCCCCACCCCCACCGACCCGTGTGTGGGGAAGGGCATGTGCGCGCGCGCAAGCTGCCACGTACGCTGGAAGACGAGAGCGGTGAAGTTGAGGCTGTGCGTGGGCAGGAGCATGCTGAAGTTGCCGGTGCTGTCGGTTAGGCCAAAGGCCTCGCCCGTATCCAATTGGCGGTTGAAGTTGGCGTCGTCCCACACCGTCACGCCGGTGATCGGTTCGTCCGGCAGGATCACGTCGTTCTACGCGCAGTGCAGACAGAAATAAAAAAGACAAAGAGGCTCGAATCGATTACTGAGCGCCGACGGGGGAGGGTGGTAATTGATGCGGTCACGTACCCAGAGTCCATCGCCGGCGTAGTCGGCATAGACGTAGCCGTAGATGGTGACGGTGATGTCTACACATACACAGACACATATATATATATAAATATGGCAGAGAGAGTGGCGGGTGGGTGGCGGGTGGCGCGAGTGTCGCGGGTGGCGTACCAGCCTGACCGAAGTCGAGCCCCGACCAATCGGAGGAGCGTGTGACTGAGTCATAGATGCGGAGGGGCGTGGGCGGGTAGGTGATGAACTTGAGACCATTCTGCTGGCTCGTGATGGACACGATGCCTGCTCTCCCCAAAGCCCACACCCACACCCCCACCCACCCACATACATAGAGAACATACACCAAATGGGGTGAAGAGGAGCAAACGACGGATGGATGGATGGGTGGGTGGA